CACGGGGCCCACGCGGAGTAAGTAACATCGAAATTTGAGTCCGGCTAGCGGCTAAAATTGGTTCGAATTCGCTTGCGTTTGTTTCTTGTTCGATTAAGTATTGCCTCACCGCCTTCGATGAATAATAAAATTTTGCTTGAGTAACTGCAGTAAAATTAAAAACTTTGCCGGACCTTTCGACTTCCCAACCACGTTCTTGAAGCTCTTGGTTTGAGAAGGACAGACGCGAAGGGTTTCCAATACCATAAAACCATTTCTTGACCTTCGAACTTTATCCTAAGCAACGCTGCAAAACTTATTGCGTCTGAATATATACTTCTATTGTTATTATACCTTTCAGGCTCTTTTCTCTAATGCATATTTCTGTTACATTCATTAATAAGCTAAATAACATATACTTTCTATAACTACTGTATAAAATGCTACTATATATTATTAAAACACTCGAAGAAAGTCTGATGATAAGTATATTGCTGTTTGTCGTCAAATTTATGGTGTGGTTTCGTGTTTCACTGTCGAAATACGCATGCGTTCAGGCCGTTGCTATGGATGATGTCATTTGTTTGGGACGCGTTACKGGATTCGGATGAAGCGACGCGTGGGCGATATAAAACCGACGTTTTCCGATAGTTTTTGTGGCTCAATCGGCTTGATATTGTGAGTCATGACGTAGTTCAATGTCAGAAACAATATGGCGGCGAATTCTTTCGTTTGAATCCAAATTTGAAGAATTATAGCGACTTTAGCGCATTAAAGCACCACTCTCCCTCACGCGTTCTTCGATAAACTCTTTTGTATTTATCATGCTATCCTTAAATTTTTTTTGACACCTTAGGTGTGAAATTTCACACTTTTGACATGCAATTTGGAAAGAAATTTTATTTATATATTTATTACGAAATACTATTTTAGGTGTATTGGATACAGTGTAAATGAATTTTGTAGAAATGACAGCCACTTTACCCAGTTCTCATACCTTAATCTTGGAGATTAGACAAATTAGGAATTTTAACGAAAGATTCTGCAGTGAAATTGCAAATCATGAACAAGCAGCTTCCCTTAGCTTCCCTTCGACATGTTTACAGCTTGTTTACAGCCAGTTTATATTCATACCAATTATTGGCGTCATTAGTTTTAAAAGTTGGTTATTCCAAGTTATTCCAAAGAAAAAAAGTTTTTCTCTCCTAACTTCCTGTACCATTATTTGACACAAGAATTATAAGATGCCATTATCGAAAATGGTTCATGTAATGAAATATGTCGTAACGCATGACCAAGTATAAAATCGACTTAAATCACTATAAAAATAATTTTTTATCTGCTATTACAGTTTTCAAATATCAACAAAAAAAATAACTAAGAAGTTTACCTTGTCTTCTTCTTTTTTTTTTAGGTACGAAGCTTGTTTTATTACTAAAACTGTGGGATTGTTTTATATGTAAACAATGATTTAAACACTGATGACATTACAGAGAACTTCCATTCCTGGACTTCATCAAGATCTTACTAGACCTTTTTATCCATTTTATTCCGGGTTGTAGTGGCAGGTTAGTGCAGGGATTTAAGAAGGAAGTTTCTAAGCAAATTACACGATTTTTTTTGTATATAATATTACAGTATGAGTGGCCGTGTCGTATCCGATATACAAACTCGAGGCGTAGCCGAATACTGTAGATTATTTGTGTTTCGCTAAAATTTTAATTCAAGATAAAAGTGAATCTGGCCAAGAAAATCCATCTTAAAGTTTATGCAAATGAACAGGATTCTGTATCTGATTTACAGAACTCTTCACGGTCGTGATTTCTGTTGTGTTTTCCTCATGAATTATTAATGAGTTTAATAAATATAACTTACGGACTTGTAATCGTTATTGACCCCACGGCTTAAGGTTTCCCTATATTAAACAGCGCTTCCAGACGAAAACTCTTCACTTTAAACAATTCAAGGAAGTAGGAAAGAATTCCACATTGAAACACCGTTCTCGCAAGTTACATTTCCTTGAAATTCATTTACAAAAATTGTAGAAATTTAGCGTTTAGTCTATCGAAGTTCGGTTTACTCATGTATGTATCACAGTGGGCCACGTATTTCTAAGCGGAACTTAACATGGAATCTCTCAAGCAAAACAACTCCAGACAAATATTCAGGATTGATGTTGTTTTGGGTAAAAAGCGTGAACAAAAGACAAGCAATATGAATTATATTCTTGTTCTATGTCGTTAGCAAAGAAAAGTAGCGAATATTATGTTGATCCATAACTTTGCGTTCCGCTTCAGTTGCTGACAAAATTGTCTGAAAACTATGGTAAGGGGCATTGCTGAAAAGCTTATCAAAGTCAAATGACTTTCCGTACTGAACTCGCCTATACCTGTCATTTTTACAGAGTCCATTTTTACTTGTTAGGGACGGACCATTAGATTTTTGAGGAGTGGAGTTTGGGCAAAAAAAAAAAAAAANAAAAAAAAAAAAAAAAACAAAAAAAAAATCCTGCAAAGCCATGAGGCGTAAGAAAATATTCCTCCACAAAATAAATTGCCCAACTCCCCACCCCCCTCAAAAATCTAATGGTCCGTCCCTTATGCAAAAATGAGAAGGGATCGGAGATACAAGGGTCATGGTGTAGCAGTAGTAAACTCTCATCCGCGGCTAACCACTGGGGTCTAGGTTCGATTCCAGTGGATTCAGTGTCTTGTGTGAGTAGAGTTTGTTGGGTCTCCCCCTTGATTCAAGGGTTTTCTTCTCGACTCCGGGTTCTCGGGTTTTTCTCGCGTAATAATGTTATGCAAATCTGATTTTACTAATGTACGGCTGTTTCAAACATGGTTGATGAAGGTTGTGTTTCATAAGAAAGCGAAAGATTACAACTGACTGATGATATTACATTTTACCAAAGTTTTTCTGCACGTTTTTCCGGCGTATTTTTTTCTCGCATATCTGAATACAACACACTTCAATCTTGGTATGCAATGTGAAACAAAAACTTCACCAACCTCTTTTGAAATAGCTGTGCTAATATTCATTATTCCACTCCAGGCGCTTCATCGAGTCACAATGCAAGAGTCTTATCAGGAAGTCCAAAATTTTCTTTCAATGGCCAAAGAAGATGACGAAGGAGGCTTAGCTCTGGATTTGACCCAAGAATCCTATAAAGTCTTCCCCTTTGCCATCTTAGAACTGAAGGATCTTCGAACACTGAGGCTTAATTTTAGTAACTTATCTTCAATTCCAACCTCTATCAGTCGTCTCATAAATCTTAAAGTGCTGGAGTTAAAAAGTAATGACTTCAAGAAATTTCCACTTGCACTGTGCGAGTTAACAAATTTAGAGCTCTTAGATTTGTCCGACAATGAAATTGTCACGATTCCAAGTGAAATCACGAAGTTGAAATCCCTCAAGACGCTAAAACTTCGTAACACGAAGCTTAAAGGAATCTTGAGTGAGTATATATCTGCACTAACATCACTTGAGTATTTGGATGTGTCCAAAAATGCTCTGAATGCCTTCCCTGAATCTTTCGCAAACTTAAAGGAACTTGAACGTTTGAATATTTGGCAGAATTCATTCGCCAAAGCTCCTTCTATCCTGATTGGACTTACAAAATTGAAAATCCTGGATATTTCGTACAACAAGTTAGAAGTGTTCGACTTGGATCTCTTTACCTCAGGGATTAAGGTTGAGGATTTGGACTTGGAGGGAAACGAGTTGACCACCTTTCCCGAAAAGGTGTGCTCTTTGGATAGTCTTCAGAGACTGGACGTTGGACGGAATAAAATATCAGACATTCCTGAAGATATCAAAAATCTTCGAAAGCTCGAAGAGCTTTGGATCAACAACAACAACCTCAATGCTTTTCCGAAAGTAATCTGTAAGCTACTTTCACTTGAAACTTTCAGTATTTCGTACAATAACATTAAGGCTGTACCTAATGAGTTGGCCTATTTGAGCGAGTTGAAGAACTTGGAGTTGGACCATTGCGGTCTTGATGTAATGCCTCTTTCTATATGCATGCTCAAGAACTTAAAGAGGCTTTCTCTTGGAGGAAATAACATCCAGAAAATCCCAATCGTAGTGAATTCCTTGCACGAGCTTTTGTTTATCAATCTGATTGGTAACAAGGACTTAAAGATACCATCACAAATTCTCAAGAGAGGAATCAAGGCAATTTTCAATTACCTGAATGAGACTGAGGTCAAGAAGACAATATACCAGAAAGTCATCTTTCTAGGTAACGTCAGAGCCGGGAAGTCTAGTTTGTCCAACACATTGATCCAAGGATCCTCGCAGCTGAGTGATGATAGAAACAGGACCGTAGTGTTGGACGAAATGGCATGGACACCTGAGGAGAATTTGAGCCTACAAGTGTATGATTTTGGTGGCAGTGCTTGGTATGACATCGTGCAGCATTTCTTCATCGACAAGCATTCAATCATCTTTCTTGTCATCAACTTGGTTGATTATACGGAAGACAGTTACATTGAAAATGTGGAGAAATGGCTTCAAATCGTTCAAGCGAGAGCTCCTCGTGCCTATCTCTTCATAGCTGCAACTCATATCGATTTGTTGTCACAACAAGAAGTTGCTGCTAAGAAAGCAAGTATCTTGGAAATCATGAAAAGTAGAGAGGAAAGCCAAGTCGAGAACGTCGAAAAAGAAATTGAGAGGCTGAAAAACCTTGGAAATGAAGGCAAGACTGCGTTTGACCGCGTGAAGAATTCCCTAATGAATCGACTAATCCTTCCCACGAAGATTTACTCTGTGTCTTCCAAGACACTTCAGAACATGACAGAGCTGAAATATGATCTTTTGGAAAAGGCAAAAGAACTTGGTCGTGTTATCCCGCTGTCTTGGCAACGACTTTACCATAGCTTACACACGTCAGACCTGTCGAAATCCAAAAAGTTCCTTACATACAATGATGTGGCGAAGTTGAACTACGAAACGACGAACGCAACCAAGGCTGGGTTCGTGCACAGTCCTTTTATTACTCGAAAAGAAAACCAACACTCGCCTGAAACAGCAAAGCCCAAACTTTTGCGAACACCGACTGGAACCCAAATGGAATATTCAAAATTTAAGAAACCTCGGAAAAAGACTTCAGAATACAAGGCTCCACCTTCCAGTGCTTTCCGAAACCCGACCGAAAACGATGAAGATCGAGAAATCGGATCAATGACTCGATTCCGAGTTCAAATCCTCAAAGAAGATTTTCCACAATTGAGTTTCGACAAGGATAGAGTTCATGATATTTTGGCATTCTTTCACAGTATCGGAGATGTGCTCTGGTACGAAGGCAAACCAGAGATTAAGAACTTTGTATTTCACAATCAAAGTTTTCTGATCGATTTGTTGAAGCGTATTTTTTCAGAAAGGCCCGATGAGCTTGAAGTAAGAGGTGCTGTATTAATGAAACATGGACTAACGTCAAAGACACTTGAGGCAGCTCGACAAGAACTTCGTACCAAAGGCATCATGTCAATCAAGTATCTGAGGGGCCTTTTAGACGACTTAGACGTCGAGAGTAAAATGATCGATGCAATAATGCAGCTCCTAGTCCATTTCGATCTTTGCTACAAAGTGCAAGACGAGGTTCAAGAGAACCGCATAACAAAGCTGCATTTTCCTTGGTTTTTGAGTGACACTGTCGCCCAAGAAGCCACCATGATGTTGGAGCGTCCTCCAGCGTCTGGGAATTGGAGATTCATCTTGGAGTACGAGTTTCCACTTGGGTGTCCTCGAGCACTTTTTGAGTCAATGGCAGTACGTGTACATCAAGTGGTCCCTGACCATGAGAGCATCAAGCACTGGAAGAACGGAGTCTACGCTAGAATCCGGGATACCAAGATTATGCTTTATCGGACATTTGACGAGTTGGATACGATTACTATCAGTTTTCACGTGGAAGGCAAAGTGATACCTGATTTATGGAGTAATCTCGCCAGGCTGCATAGGGAATTTCGCATCTTGATGATCAGATGGCCTGGTATTCTGCACGAGATATGGCTGGTCTGTCCGCACTGTACTAACGAAGGGTCGACGAATCCTCATCGGTTTCAAGGAGAAAACATTGAAAGGTGTTGTCCAGAAAATGAAGAAAATTTTACCTGTCCTCACGCTGGTGAACAAGGGAGTATTCCTGGAAATTTAATCTTCCCACAACAAGGTATGTAAAAAACTTTATACTTTTGATAATCTCTTGCTGGTTAAAGTCAGGGCACTGTTAACTCACAGATCGCACCTTGAAACAGCCTCTGGGCTTATCTATGTCAAGGACGACTTACTCATAGTTAAAGCCCTGAAACAACCTCTAATAAAAGTCAGGGCATGGATAACTCACAGATCGAATTGTATGGCTTTACGGAGGGATAGCCGGCGGAGAACCCGGAAAACATTCCTCGTGAATCAATGGATCTGTGATGGGTCCCCCCTTTCATGGACTTAAATAAATGTAGATGTAGATGAGAGCAGGACTCAAAAAACTCTACTCACATGTAATTTCAAATCCAGGAATCAAACCGGAGACCTCAGAGGTGAGATTCAAGTGCTGGCTTCCACTACACCACCCTTGATTCCCAACAGGTCACCTGACCCGCTACCCCCCTAAGCAGCTGTGTCGAAATGAATTCCAAAATTTTTTCCAATAGCAACATGGGGCATATGGCAAAAAATATATTCAAAAATTTCTTATTCGCAAATATTTGAGCGGCCGACCTCTATATAACGACCACCTTATAAGCATAAAAGCCTCTATTTAGCGACCACATGACAAGCTTTATAGAAATTTTACCGCATTTATAATACACTCTACAAAATTACTCGATTCTGATTGGACAAGCGGAGCACAATTAAATCCCAAATTGTATTCTATAGAGTCCCAATAAAGTTGCTTAATTTTTTTGAGTGTATTATGAAAACAATCGCACAATCTTCTCGTACTGATTCGGAATTTATAGATACTCGTGATGTTTTGAAAGCTCTCAAATTGAACTCACTTAAAGACTCGTCTAATTTTGAAAGCTTTCAAAACATCACTCGTACCTATAAATTCCGAATTGTACTCGAGATTGTGCGATTTCCTATACAAATTAAAAAACACATTATAAGACTGGCACAATACCTTATTACCTAGAATTGTCTGAAATTATTTCAGCATCAAGCGACGTCCCAACCGATGCAGAGTTATCCAAAGTCGCTTACATGGTCGGAAGCGATTGGAAACTACTCGGCCGAGCACTGGGAGTAGATGACTACGAAATAGATCAGGTGAACACCGACTATGACCAGCTCTACGAAAAGGCGTATCAAATGCTGCAGCAGTGGAAGAGGGAAAGAGGATCCAAGGCGCATTGTGCACGTTTAATAATTTACCTTTTCATCATTACTGTTTCATTAGAAACACCGACGCAGCTCACACTAGTTTTTAGCTAGTTATATCTTGGTATAGTTCGTACCCAAGATAGATTCACAAAGCACTGAATTATCGATTTCAGGAAGGGTATCCAGCTGAGCGGTAAATTTTATTTCAGCCAATCACAGCGCATTTAGCTGTTTTGCCATCCGGCCCGCTAAGAAATAAATAAAATACACCTATTTCAGTCAACGTTGTCATCGCCAAAGGCGATAGGCGATAGGTCACTGACATGCGCCGCGTTCATCGCTCAGCTGGATAATTGAGAGTATTCAATGAAGAGCCTTCGTTCCTTTTGGTCACTAATATATACTTATCGAAAACGAAACCAACGTCCATCGAATTCCCAATAAAATGTTTACATTTAGTACTGTATGGGCGTAAAAATTCTAAATTTCAACGAAATTATAACTTTGGAGAAAAAAATAAGAGATGTAATCATTAGTTTTTCGAGTTCTTCTGATAAAGATATTGATATAATTCTGATTACTGTAATTTTTATCGCTACTTTTTAACGATCGTAAAAAGATTTCGTTAATTAATTTTGAACAATATCATTTCAGTGTTACTAAAATCTTTCTCAAGTTTGCTTAAAGTGGGGTAAGATGTGGGGTAAGATGTGGAATAACCCGAAAATATTTCAGTTTGAGTGCGGCTTCTTGAAGGCATTAATAGGTATTTGTTGTTCCTTGTAATTCGAAACACCGGCTTCTATGTGAAAATTAATTTCTATAAGAACAATGGGAAAAACAGCGACGTATTTCAATTTTTTTTTATTTATGTGTGCCAGTAATGTTTTGTATATTAAATGATTACTCCTCATACGTCACAGCATTAGCATATGGCATGGAAAAACCTTTTTAACTTCAAGAACCCGCACTCAAACTATATATATTTTTCGGGTTATTCCACATCTTACCCCATGTAGAATCAATACTGTGAATATTAGAATTAGAAGGTTGATAGGTACTAGCACCGTATAGCAGAGCAAGTCAGTCCACTATTTCCGAAGATGAACTTGATATTTTCTGTAGTTTATTTGTATTATACTTTCTTTAATTCCGCTTTATTTCAAAGGTAGAACAATAAACAAAATATGAAATAGCAAAACATTGTAATTTACTGAGGCAAAATTCATTTAATGAAGAATTCATCATTGAATACTAACTAACTACCTAGTAGGCCACTGTATTAAGTTTACATTCCAGTTTCGCCCCGAAGTTTCTACGTTAGTGAAACGCAGGGATAACCTACTTAAATAAATTAGACCAACTGGAAGCTAGTCTCATAAAGGAGTCAATATTGAACGAGTTAAGTATGTTACAACGGAAAACCCGTGAGAATAACAACAATTGTTTCGTGGTATTTCAAAAATATCTTGACTCGATGACATGGCAACCGTTGCCTGTCAAACTCGGCTATCAATGCTGCTATTTGCCTCATTAAATCCTTTGAAAACAGTACTAATAGTCCTTATTACCTTCAAAATCTACTTCAACAATTCAAATACGCCAACAATAGTATAGATCAAACAGCTGAATACAGAAAAGTAAATTTTGGGAGCTTATAATTTGAGTGAGACGCCGAAGACTTCATACTATCGACGAGTTCTTAAAGTCTTAACGAGCAAGTATGGCTCTAAATTTGTACTGTGGTATCCTAATGGCTATTAGCTTTGCTGTTTTGTGCAAAGGTTAGTTTATCTAGTATATGAGTGTTTTTTTCTTCCAGCTTTTAAATACTTTTTTGCTTCAAAAAAACAATAGTTCTTTTAAAGCTGGCCCCTTCACAACTTTTTAAAAAAAGAGTAAACGAAAAATATCGCAAAAGAACCAGTATTTTCTTTTTTTTTTAATGAAATCATAGCTTTTAACTTTCTTTTCGAATTGATCGATTTTAATGTGGTGAAAGAAAATCGGTTAAGTATACAATTTTTTTAATGACTTTTAATGAAGTTGATCTTCGGTCAAGTAACGATAAAATTATCAAAATCAATTAAAAAACTGATATAATTTTATCCCTTGCATTTTATTATCCAACTTTTGTTAAAAACGTTTTTTTTTTTTTACAATTTTTCTCGCCAAACTTTGATTCATAATACTTTTGGTGCGTCTTCCGTCGCTAAATGCAAATTGATCCCGCCTAAGGTGTTGGCACGTTTACCGAGCGCGAAGTGTTCTGAAAACGAAACAGCTCTGCTCCCCTTTTTGGTGGGAAAACTATTTAAATCACACTAATTTTGGGGCCAGCTTCGTCTAATAAATTAAGAATTCTAGAAGCGACGTCATCATTTACTTATTTAGTCTTACTTGTAGGTTGTCCTCATTAAAGGAAAAACGAAACTAACAAATCATTTTAATGCCATTTTTTTTGTCTTATAGGAAATGTGAGAAGGGATAGGCTAACAGGTAAAAAAACTTGGTGGTTGCTTCATGAATGAAAATTTTTCAAAATGTCATTTTCATATCAGCAAAAATATAAATACCTTTTATAAATGTGGAAAACGCCTAAAGAAATTTCAGAATGACAAAAAACCAAAAACACGAAAACAAATTGGCTGTTGTTTTTTTTTTTACCCCAATCAAAGTTATCAGGAATTTATTCATTTTTTAACAAGCGTTTTTATTATTGTTATTGGTTTCTGATTCCCTTAAAATAAGTGTCAGCTGTTTAAATATTATAATTTTCTTCATTTAAGTCACTTTTGGAAAATTTTCTCCGCTTCCTCTAACGGCAAGACAAGCAGTGCAGGAAGGATGGAAAGGTGACGCGAACTGTCGTAACGGTCAGTAAAGGTTTTGGTAGGGCTATTCTTAAGCTTTAAGATATCAGAAATAATGCCCAACTTCTACTATAATCAAGTGGATTTGAAAGGAGGAGAAAAAAAAAAAAAAAAAGAGAGAGAGAGAGAAAAGAGAGAGAGAGAGAAAGAAATTGAAATCCTTCTCTTTTTTCCCTCTTCACCCTCACTTTCTTTCTTTCTCCTCCTCTCTCTTTTTAGTCGTTTTCCTTTTTTCTTTTAATCCATTTTGTTTAATTATTCCGCCAACTTGGCTTTAGCCATTCATAACGAGTTCTTTTAATTTATGCCTTCATTATAGCACATATCTGTAGATATGTCATCATTAAACCGTTATTATTATTATTATTAATATTATTATTATTACATTCTATTTATCTAGTACGTAAGCGTTAAATGCGGATTATTTAGTTTTCCCGTCACCCTCCTCCTCTTTTCTCCTCTCCTTCCCAGAAACGTCGACTAATAGCGACAATCTTTTACTGAGAAAAGAAGCCACACCACCAGATACTAACTACCGTCTCCTAAAAATAAGATTTTGAAATTTTCCTCGCGGCGTTTAAAAAAACCTGAAAAAGTCTCCAAAATTTTAACAGCTGCTGTTTCAAAAGTGAATTTCATAAATAATAGTTGTTTTTACCACACGTAGTTTACTTGGCACTAATGTGTGGCACTAATCTGTAATTATCCCCCCTCCCCCGCTATAAAGTCAAAACGTACCGCGCATGTCCAAAAAATTGGCGGGAAAACGAGGAGCGCCTGTAAAAAAGCTATTTTTGAAACTTTAAGATTTTCCTGGTATATCTTAGTAGATGTACCTTGGGCAAAGGCGGATATAGGGAGGGGGTGGGGTGGGGGGTTTGACCGAATTTCGCTCGACTTGTAAGTAGCGGCTCATTTTACTGTAAATCCATTACTTTGATCGAATAAAACTATATATGGCTAGAGGCTTTACCCCTCCCTGGATCCACCCCTGCTGGGATGCCGAAATGATTTGTTAAATTAATCAACCAACAGGTCCTTCGGCAAACTTCTTTAGAGGAAACCGTTACGTGCGATATGATGATAACACGACAAAAATCTTGTACGACTGTTGGGGACGCGTCGCTGGGATACAAACTACGGTAAACACTAACATTGATTCATAACTCAACAGGGACCGGTTGTACAAAGGGTGGATAGTGCTATCCGTAGGATAAATCTGATCCAGTGCATAAGTCGATGTTGTTATCCAATACATTTATCCACTGGATAAGATTTGTCCAGTCGGATAGCACTATCTGCCCTCACGTTCTGCTAATAACAACAAACGCAAATTTTTGTTTTGGCTATCAGGTGTAAGGAACTCTGTTGCCATGGAAACAGACTGGGAGATGAATGATATTGTTGATAATGATGGTGGAAGTGTTGATGATGATGAAAGTGGTGATAATGCTGCTGCTGATGCTGGTGATGACAACGGTCGTTGATGATGGTGGTCGGATGATGGTGATGATGATAGTGATGTTAATGCCATGTGAACAAATGCCTAACTCAATATCTCCAGCCAACCTTTGCATAAAAACATCAAGATACAACAGAAACTCAAACCACCTGACTGATAACCCTATTTTTCAGATTGAACCTACATCAGATTTTCCCACACAGTACAACTATGGTCCTTGGCACAGGAATGCTGATGGTACAATAACAGCTACGGCTTATTTTCGCAACCCCAACAGGATTTGTTCTTGCAGATGTCATTCCAAGAAGGCTCCTCCAGTTGGTGACCGACTCTGGATTCAACTTGGTGACATAACCGGAAGGAAGAGCACAAACAAATTCATGGTAGTTCCGCTCAACAAAAAGAAAATAGCCAATACTCCATGGGTTGAGGGAAAGTGTGTTAGTGCTATGGGTGAGAATTAATTGTCTTACGGCAATGAAATTTTTTTCGTTCATTTACTGTTTCATGGTTTTAGGGTTAATTGGCACATAAGTTTAGAAAGTTTTGTGTTATTCATTTTTGTCTTCATTCATTTCATTTTTTGCTTGATCTCCTCTAAATAGAATAATCTTTCTTCCTTGTCAATAACCATTTTATTCATTCATAAATTTATGGTTCAGTTTAACTACTTCAATTCAGCCATCCTTCAATCATCTAACCATCCACCCATCCATCCATCCATCTATCCATCCATCCATTTATTCATCCACCCATCCATACATCAATAATACATCAATACATCAAATATATCCTTTCTTCCCTTTCCTTACCAACTTCTTTTTTATATTTAAATTTAATTTCAAATTTTAAAAATATTTTACACTTTTAAAATGTTTTATCTATCTAGTTATCTATAGTTATTTTAATAAATTATTTGCAATTATTTTCAATATTTAATTATATTATACATTTTCATCTCCTTATCCTTCCCGCAGGAGTACATTATCACTATAACATATCCAAGGACTTTGACTGTAACTATGCTTTTCCTGTTTTTCTGATTGCCAATAAATACAATGGAGATGTTCATGGATTTGGTTGGGGAGTACCAGTGGTCGTAAACAGTCCAAGATGGGAGCATCCAGCACCTGAGCTATTTGCGGTATTAAACGTTCTACTCAATATACCTATTTTCGTAACTGTACCTATCCTCCTTGCGCCTAAATGGCATATAAGGCCTTCACAAAGCTCTTCTGCCCTGTCTGTTTCCCTGTCAGCAGCCACAGTTTGTACCCAGCCCAAACAATTAGATCTAATTAACTACTTTGATAAAGTGATTATTTTCCAGTCTACCCCCATAAATAAGAAATGTGCCCTTCCTAACTTTAAATTTATTAAATTTCAGAGATCAATAAAGGAAGAAAACATACCATCTTGCATCTTGAAATACAAGGCCGTGTCTGTTCAGCACATCTATTTTGTTGATCCACTGAAGATTACCTGTTTTTAGTAGTGAAAATTAATGTGTCTTGTTTACAGCCAAAACAGCTCAAGCTTAGCCCCTCAGGTTCCATTAATGGTTTCATTATTTGAATATTGACTATATATTCCTCATATTACTCAAAGATTCATTGCAGTCTTCCTGTAAAGCATTACTATATAAAATACACTGATTGTGAAATAATCCAATCAGAATTCAAATTTTGAATTAGCTATTCAGTTTTGAATTCTGAGTCTTTGTTGATCTTTGTTTTTTAATATATTCTCAGAACTAGGAAATATAATAACTACAGTATTGGAATAATGAAAGCATTAATGGAAACTAGTGGGGTAAGCTTGAGTCATTTTGACTGCAAGAGAATCAATAATTTATCATGAAATAAATATTGAAATCCTATGATAACCTAATATCTGTATCAATAAATGCTAGATTATTTGAACATGAGGTGAACATTTAATTTGTGGAAACTGAATGTCAGAGTGAATAAATGATTAGAAAAATATGAAATCTTCCCTACATTAATACACACAATAATTTTGACTGAGCACTCTAGTACTAAACAGTGCAAAACCCTTTATTTTCTATTGTATTCAAGTCATAGAAAACACTAAAACAATATTATTGTTTATTATTATTTATTGTTATCTAAAGATAATGGTTTTGCTGTTTAACTCAATTTAGTATCACTGAGTTTTAGAATTTTTCAGAGGTTACTGGATTCTTTACTGAATAAATTGTCTAAAATTTCAATTTTAAAATACCATCCCAAATTGTGAAGAAAAATCATAAAATTTCATTTTTTTATAACCCATCTAGTTATCTATACATTTTCACTACCATACAAAACACCCCTTCGAAAAACATTCTTGATATTCTATTTAAAAATCCCTTACCACATAATCACTCTTTGCTTTTACCATGCGTTCTTCATGCTTCGCTTCAAAATTGGCGGGAAAACTATCTGCGCGCGCATTCATTTTATCTCGGCCTGAGCCCGCGACAATCAAACCAGCCCTAGTCCTTCTCGTTTTCTAATATTCAAGATGGCGGACGATGGACGAAGAACGTAAAGAAGACGAAGTTTTTCCAAACGTTTCGTCTCAGAAATTCTTATTTCCTATTTCCAGCAGTGGTTCTGCGAGTGTGGAATGTCTTTCAAGACCAGCAGCTTTGTTTCCTTGCGTCAGAGCAATAGAAAGCGATAAATCTCAAGGTAAAGATTGTAAAAAAAGTTGTACATAATTTTTGAGACAACTTTGTTTACTTCATGTTCAAAAAGTTACCATGTAAGAAATATGGAGATTACTATCTAATACCTACGAATATAGCTAAAATAATAGCAAGCAAGTGTTTACATATACTTACATGCTATTTTTTACAATTTGTGCTTCGGCGGAGAAAAAAATCTTTTTCTTTTTAGTATTTGCAGTACCCTGGTCCCAGAGGTTTCTCGTAGTTTTGTTTTTCTCTGTAAAATCGTTGTCGTCGCTTCGCGGCGATTTTACAGAGAAAAAAAAACTACAAGAAACCTCTGGAACCAGGGCATATTTGCAGTTATTTCAACAAACTTTATTTCATTTTTACTTCGTTTATATTTTTTGTCTTATTTTTGTCCACAGAAACAGACCTGAGCTGGCTGAAAAATGAAAGCTATATTCCAGAAAATTTCCAGGGGAAAACTGAAAATGAAAGTCTATCAGAGTCACCATCGGAAGGTGAAGAATGCTCAGAGAAGATACTAGAGGTAGAAGCGAAGAGGAATACTGCAAGAGAGAGAAGGATTGAAAAGGGTTATGGCCATGAAAAGAAAAAAAAGAAGCACACCAAGAAACGAAGATATAGCAATAGTGAAGGTAGCAGTTCTGAAGAAGATGTAAAAAAATCAAAGCACAGAAAAAAACACAAGAAACAAAAACACAAAAAGAAAGGAAAAGTTGAATTAAAATCAGAGGATGAAGAGACAATCAGCAAACCTGACACAATATGGCTTGAAGATTCTGGTTTGAGTACAGAAGAAGCTTTTAGGATTCATCGGAAACCTGATATGGAAAATTTAATGTATGGCTCTCTCTACAGACTTGATGTTGCACTGTTCAAAATTAGGAAAAATACTCATTGCCTTGGTCTTGGTAAACGATATATTGCAAATGGTGATAAGAAAAGGAACAAAAAGAAAACATTAGATTCAAGGTATTGTAGAAGTACAGACGTATTCTCAGAAATACCTGAATTTATAAAACCTTGTAGAAAATCCACCAAATTTTTTGTTGGTAATATTGAAAATTATTCCTATTTGCCAATTGATCTTCTGAGCAAAAGAGAAGAAGAGAATGAAAGTGAAATAAAGGGAAAAGAAAGAGAGAGAGATATTGAAAGCGCTGGTGGGTTTGAAGATGGTTTGATGACCCAGAAGACTGCGGAATTGAATAAGGTATTACGTGAAAATCCTCATGATGTGAAGAGATGGATCGAGCTGGTGAAATTTCAAACAGAGGCTATTAACAATGAGGATATTGCAAGAGCTGGTTATACTGTTTCTGGGAATGAAAGAAAAAAGAAAAACTCAAAGGTCATTAGAGAAAAACAAATATCTATTTTAGAAAAGGCTCTGGTAGTAAATCCTACTTCAATTGAGCTTGTTATGTATCATTTAGAATTATGTAGTGATGTATGGGAAGACATTCAACTCATGGAAAGATGGAGGAAAGTTGTCTTTGCATATCCCAACAAAACTGTGCTGTGGAGGAAATACCTTTCTTTTGTGCAGTCCAGATTTTCTACATTTACATTCAGGAAGGCACAGAGAGTTTACGACAAGTGCTTTAGTACGTTGCTGCCAATCAAGGAAGAAACTTTTGTGTCGCATCAAGCTGAGGAGGGAATCGAGGAAGACATGCTGGATCTTTTTGTTCAGCATTGTAAATTCATGAAACAATCAGGTGATTGCATTTGAATTTTATGCTTGGTAGACCTAGTTTGTCTTGGTACAATGTTTATCCATTTCAGACCATGTGTCATTCCCTAGAGCATTATTTCTTTGTTTAACGGTTGTGCTTGAGAAGATACATGAATATGGATAAGACTCAAACAAAAAATCTTATTCTCTTGGGAATAACATGTTAATTTTGTGAGCAAATTCCATGACATACAGATCAAGTGTGTGGACCACTAGCACCATTCTTATGAATTGAACCAATCATATTGTAAAATGGAAACAATATATAGCAGCATAGCCAATCAGAATTCAGTATTTGTGATAAACCACTGATATACCCATCACTACGAATTATAAACTGTTGAGCTGATCAAGATGCATTGTCTTTTTACTGTAGGTCACACAGAAAAGGCTGTTGCCTGCTTCCAAGCAATGATAGAGCTGAACTGTCTGTGCCCAAGTGAACTGAGTGAAAACACCCCAACCACTGGACAGTTAGCTTTTTTGGAGACATTTTGGGACAGTGGACATGCAAGGTATAGCAAAACATTCATATACATTGTCAAATCCAACCGATAGTCTTTAAACCCCTAGGAAAATTCAGATTATTACTCCGATGGCTATTTTCTGGAATTGCAAATCCTCCCCTGACCCTCCCCACCCCTTGGAAATTCCAATCCCCATCCATGGAGGAGGTATGGATATTTTCCTCAACTACAAAATATGCCCTACTCAGAGCCATCCCACCCCCCTGGAACTTTGGTCACAAAGGAATAAAAAACCAAACAAGATATTTTGTTTCGCAGGTTTGGTGAAACCGGTGCCGTGGGATGGACCACATGGATGAACAAGTCGCTAGTGGACAAGAAACCCCTGGGTTTAGAAAACCTAGATCTGAAGAAGATCTTTAAAGCTCTTGATCCCACTAAGAGGACAGACAATGAACTCCAAAGCACTGCAGAAAAAGAGGAACAGATGGTCAAAGGAATGCCAAAATGGAAAGCTTGGATCAAGGTTGAAATATCCCGTGACAACTCACAACTGAAACCATGGCAACCAGACACTGAGAAGGGAGAAACAGATGAAGACTGTGAGGATCCAGAAAGATTGGTGCTTTTTGACGACATTAGTTCTTATCTCTTTAAATTGGAAAAGGTGGACAACAGATTGAAACTTGTTTTACACTTTCTCGAGCTTCTTGGAGTTCCAATCATGCCAAGCTCTTCTTCTCAGAGCTTTGAGACACAGAGATACTTTGAGCTGTCAATTCATACTCCAGGACAGCTGATCAAAGGACAACAGCAGTTTCTCACTCCTGGTTTAGGATGGCAGATGTGTGAGTATTGGCAAACAGATGAAGATATACCAACCAATGCCAGACCCACTGACGAAAGGTTACAGTTAGTTCGCAACATATTTCTACAGTCTCTATCTCTTTTCCAGGGACGGAACAGAGATTATCTGATGATCACATGGTTGTGGTATGAGTTCAATTTATCTCAGGTGCTGGAATCAGTGAAAAGTAGAAAGCAAGCATTCAAAGAGGTTTACAAGTTGGCAAAAGGTCTTCTAAAGGAGCCTAGCAATAGGTAAGGGATTGTAGAACTATAAAGCATTGAGTGTACTGACTTACTAATAGACTGGCGGATGGACAGTTATAAAAGCTAATGGACAGATGGACAGGTGAACAGAGTGACTTACTGATGGACTGACTGACTAACGGACAGACGGATGGATGGACAGATAGACTAACTAAAGGACAGATTGACAGACTGACTCACCTTACTGACTTAATGACTGTCTGACAGATGGACAGACAGAAGAACAGACACAGGCTGACAGATAGACACTGTCTGACTGACTGAAAAAGTTTGTTATTCAATATCTTACAAATTATAGTCAATTCATTGGTTTCTATTATCCAGGAATAACCTCAGTCTCTGGCAAGTGTTTGCGAGCATCCTTTCAATGTCTGGAGATGTTGCTGAAGCTCGTCGTGTGTTTGATTCTACACTCTCAATGGCAAGCCAAGTGATGGAAACTGATAAGAAGGATTCCCTTGCATCGTTATATAGGTATATACAATATATCTACCAAGGGATAATTTCATAATTTATGAATTGGAATGGCTAACTATATATTCAGAATTTCTGAAGTTTAAAACAAAATGTTGTGGTAGCCCCCCCCCCCCAGAGATCGACACAGACAAACATAAATTATGAATGGTCTACATATACACTGTTTTTTTTACTACAGTAGAATTATACAAAGGTGCTTTCACCACTATTGTACATGTACATTCATGCATTAAGATCATTGTTCCTTGGAATACACTTCATTTGGTGCAGCACTGTCTTCTGCACAGCACAACCATATCAAAATTGTACAAAATCTGATCTTGCAAGCCTTTATATCAAGGTTGATTATTCCTCCCTTCCATTAATAGGGCATATGCTGAACTAGAGCTCAAAGAGTCAGACAAACCCCCCTGCGCATCTGACATCAAACCAACTCTCATGAGTCGCAACAAAGTCCTTCATTTGCTGATCAGTTTTACTGAAGACGGCAAATATGAACCAATAAATGAAGACGCTACGTCAAGCACCATTCCTCCTGCAAGGATCCTCAAAGCAAAAAAGAACTATGCTGAACTTTGTGAAAATATTATCCAAAGAATGAACAATAATTGCAGTGAAAGTGAAGATAAGGTCTTTCTTGATGTTGAGCCTAGCGTTCATACCCTAGTGTGCTGTGCTTTGTTTAGTTATGTGTCATCTGGTATTCAAGCTGCTTCTGTCATCTACGACAAGGTGCTGCCATCATTATCATTAGCAAATGATGCCTCAAATCTGAAACAAGAGCATATATATAACTTGTATTTGAATCTCTTGAATCTACATGCCAAAATAGAGCCAATTCCTTTGAAAAACATCCGCAGTGTTCTTCATAGAGCATTGAAAGAATTTCCAAACAATCCCTTCTTTTTGGATCACTTTCTCCAAGTAGAGTCCAAATCAAACCTAACAGGGGAGGTGAGGAGATTTTTTGACCACCTTACTAATGATGCCAGCAGCCCAGTGCCATGGATTTATGCCGTTCATTATGAAAATATGAGGTCTAAAGCACTAGTAACGACTATGGATTGTGCAGAATATATAACCACTTCTGCAAAGCAGCCATCTTCAGTCCTTGTTACATCACTGCCAGTCACTGGTATCAGTCATCGGCAGAGAGCCTTGTTGGACAGGGCAACATCCAGTGTGGCTGGACGGCAGTGTGTTGCTCTATGGAAAATGTACATGGAATTTGAGGTATGCAAACTTGTGTTTTCCAAAGGTATTCCCATCTGCACACTAAACAAATTTACTTAATTTCTTTCCACAGTTGCAGCAAGGGAACAATGAACAAGCGAAGGCCATCTTCTATCAGGCTCTACAGCACTGTCCTTGGGCAAAGGTATTTATCACATGTCCTTATACTGTATTCTCATGGGACCATACCATCTATATGTGACGCTAACATGGTGTGCTATTTTTATTTTTTTAGACCCTTTATCTTGACGCTATCAAGTCATTCCCTGATGATCTGCAGAGAACCATTGATTTGATGGATGAAAAGGAACTTAGAGTCAGGACACCTTTGGAAGAGATAGAAATTCTATTGGAAAGCGAATAGAACATCAGCTGGAACTACACAATATACCCTCCCCACCCCCCTTGGAAATTCCAATCCCTCTCCATTGGGGAGGTATGGAAAGTTTCTACTACTCCGATATACACAATTAATCAAAAATTAGTTACACTTTATATTCCAAGATTTTTTAAAAAGCATTGACAATTTTTCTTACAACCAAGTAAAATATGTTGAAAAGGAATAATATTATTACTTAGATAGCAACTTTTTCTTGTTATGACAAGTAGAGTAGTTTCTATATAGGTGGGAAATGTACATAACATGTGTAAGGTGTGATATGCCAAAACACTGAAATGTCTCGATGTTGTCTCCATGAAAGTCATTCAATCTCAACGCATTGTAGTTTTTTTTGGTGTTCAATCTCAACGCATTGTAGTTTTTTTTGGTGTTCAATCTCAACGCATTGCAGTGTTTTTTGGTGTTCAATCTCAACGCATTGTAGTTTTTTTTGGTGTTCAATCTCAACGCATTGTAGTTTTTTTCATGTTCATTTGCAATATATCTGCAAAATTTCCTTAGTTTATTACTAACTCATACAAAAAACTGCTCTACTTAAGATAACTGGGCCCGGTTGTACGAAGGGTGGATAGAGCCATCCGACTGATAAATCCTTCCCCAGTAGATAAATTTATTGGATAACGACATCAAGTTTATCTGCTGGATAAGGATTTATCCATCGGATAGTGCTATCAACCCTTTGTACGACCAGGCTCTGGGGATCATAACATTCACCATGCTGAAGACATGCTTTGATTTCAGGAAATAATTATTACGCATGACCTATAATAATCTATATATATCGGTATAGATGTAGATATCTGATATAGACAATAGAGTGATTTTACTTGGCCATAAAAAAATATTAAGTATTAACATAGTATAGGATATAATAGTGTCGTTGATTAGTGTTAGTTACCCAGATTATTGTACTACATGTGGTATGCCAACAGAAGACCGATAGAATAATAAAATTCATATCATATATAGTAGACAAATACTATTCCATTGGTTTCTTGTTTTACTTTTACTTTTAGTCATTATCTTATGTGTTATACATTTTATTTTTATGAATATGTTACATATACTGATTGTCATCAGTTATACCAAATGCTCTAAGGGAACTGTTCATTTTTGATCAGGGGATAAGCAGTGATTTTTTAAAGCATCCAAATAAAAATAAAAACTTTTCCTCCCTCTTCATAATAGTAAAAAATGTCCCCCTGACTTCAAAAAATATACCAACCTTGCCTATTAGAGCACCATATTTTTACCCCCACCCTTCCCCTGATGCAATATGAACAGGCCCTGAGAAAGGCAGCTTGTATAGATGAGTTGAGAAACACTCAATAATTGGAAACCAAATATTACTTGTGTAATATAAAATATACTTGGCCTCTTGTTTTAAAAACATTGCTTAGAAGCATTTGTTAAAGTATTCCCGTATATATATTTACATGTTTTAGTTAGGAGAAATAAATGTACTTATAATTTATCAGTTCTATACGTAACTTAAAGCAGTATAGGTCCTATTAGCTTCAGTATTTAGTTTTCTTTTTTGAGACCTTGGGACATTCTCACGAGAGTAAAAACTCTGCTCGAGATGTATCCATATTCATGTCTTCTTGTGTACAATGGTATAGTATCACGATTCTCCTATAAGTTTGATTGGGAGAGAGCTCCCAATTTGAACCTGTATTGTCAGCTCAAAACTACCTCGAGATAGGAGAATGGCTATATAAAAGTTATTTTGATTTTGATGTCAGTGGAAGAAAATATCCCATATTGGCCTTTGCTTTGCAACTACAGACAAGACTATATTTTTCCCCAACTAGTTTCCAATTAGACCCCTATTGGCAGCTCAAAATCACATGGCATATGGCATAAGGTGCAGGCCAGCCAGCAGTCCAGATGGAAATGTAGCAATCTGATTGGTTACTGGAAGCAGTCAATCTTTCATTCTGGACTAGCCTCCCAAATTTTAAGTTCTAAATTTCTTTTGTTTCTGCTGAACTATGATAAGCACTAATTGACCATACATATTCCTTTCAGATAGGGAAATATTGGTCATATTCATTTTTTAAAAGATTTTATAGGCAGGTTTGATGGCCTTTGGCTTGGTTCATAGAGACAAAACCTGACCAACCTCTATCTATAGCTCGCACTAGGTCTATAGTATTATTATAGTTTGCTCATTTAAGATTATAAAGATTTTAAGCTTTTTGACTCAGATTACAACAAACAATTTCTTTTTTTGAATCACAACGTGCGTCCTAAAGTGGAGCAAACTTTTCACACAAGAGTCTGTGTGGGAAAACCTCAAAATATACCTTTTTGCTACAAAGTGGCAATGAAATGATTCACTGCTCTCTCATACTTCATTCTGATTTTGAGAATTTGTCATTTCTTCTTTAGGCGATGTATCATCATTCATCGATGATTCATTCACCATATTGTGAACATCATCCGGAGCCTGTGTCCCACTATTTTCAGTGACGACATTTTGACCATGATAATTTGACGTCATGTGATCAGATGTGACATGAACACCTGAGAGTGACAAAGTCCCAGCGAGTGAGTGAGACACTTCAGATCCATCACCCTGCAACTGATGATTCTGAACTCCTGTGTGGTCGCCGTCACTTAGCTGTGAAACTGACATGATTCCTGACGATTGCCCAGTATAATACATGACTGGTATCTGACCGGCCTGGGTAGTGAGCATCATAGATGACGGCACTACATTAGCGAGTGATACAACTTGGGTACCTTCACCTTGGTGGGTAGCTATCGGCACCATTAGGGTGCCCAGTGATTGGACATGTGCTGGATTTCCTTGGATATTCTCAACAGCATGTTCTTGGGTGTTTTGTATCTGGCCGTCACTTCCTATGTGGACAGTTGTGATGGTTGGTGTTGAGTGACTTGATGTTGTTTGCACCTGTCCTCGCTGCAACTGCACCTGCTGGGTAAATAACTAACAAATTAAACAAAAATGAGAGAAAGTTATTAACTAAACGATATACTTGTCTACTAAACCTATGTAAATTGCTATGGTTTAACAGATCAAAAACTGTTTTTGATTCGTTTTATGAAATAACAAACGCACGAAAAGATGGAAGAAACCCAAAGCCTAAGTAAATTCTCCCTACGTGCCGTCTTTTCCAAACTATGACCTTTTATCTTACCTGCACACCATGTTGCTGTGTTCCTTGAGCTAACGAATGTGGTATCTGAATAGCTGTACCAGCAATATTAGATCCAGGGGTAAATATCGTAGTGAAGGACCCACCACCAGGCATTGCTTGCACAGAGTACGATGTCGAATTAGAAGACGATTTACTGACCGCTTGCTGTGGGATGTATGTTGTTATTGGGAAAGAATGGCCAGATGCGGGCATTGCTGTTATACCAGTCATTGATGTACTTGTCAAGCCCATTTGATGTTGTCCATCCAACTGTTGTGTAGTGTAAATACCACCTCTATCCTAGAAGGTAAATATAATTGAAATGATTAAATATTTAATGCGTAGTTCCTGAAAATATCCATATACCCCCACCACTGAGGGAATTTGTAAAAGGCACCCCCCCCCCCCCACCCACAGGAAATTCCAATTTTCTTCCATACTAACTCTGTAATTTTGTTCTTTCTCTGACCCCTCTTCCCTCTGGAACAAAAAAAAACGTGGATGGGTCTACTAAGTTAGCCTTGAGGACAACCACAACAACAAAACAAAAATATAGTTATAACAGCTTATCTTGAACATGTTTCTAACATAATGACTATGTATGAATTTCCTATTTTGACAGCTGTTTGGCAAGGAAAAATTTGATATTCAATATCGGTGAATAATTAATCTCATGGGCAATACTATGCTACACCACTTCTTTCATGCTTGCTTTAACAAAGGAAAACATTGTTCTAGACATGCACTAGCAGAACCACTTGTCTAACACGAAAAATTAAGCGTCTGAATTATTAAAGATACCTTCAAAACTACAGCACAAGAAATTATAATTAAGGAAATGTAGTCTTTTTCAATCGAATCGAAAGATTGCAGGGTAAAATGATTTCAATAAATGAATAAAAATTTCAAAATATTTGGAACGATATCAAGATCTTTGGATAAAGAAGTGGAATTTTTCCCATGGAAGAAAGGCTAAGGATAAAACTATAACATACTGTATGTGTAAAAGGTCTAAAGATTTTCCTACATCGTAAGTATCTATTTGTTTGCCTTTCTATGTCCAAAATTGGAAGAAAAGCCGAGGTCCAAAAATAGTCAAGGCCGCCTTATTTGGATGGAATGTAAAAAATACACGTAATTTGAAATTCGAAAAGTCACTGGGATAAAAATCTTTAGAAGTATTAACTCTATCTTCCGTTTTGCCCACAAGAACAGAGAAAAATATTTAATTTTTTAGCTATAATGAGAATAATTTTAACTTGATGTCTTCGCGATGGCTCGATGACATCGAAAGGGTGATTTCAGAAGGATTGCAGTTTCATGTCGTAAGTCTTTGAATTCAACTCAACTTTTCTCTTTAAAATGCGCTATTTGTTTAAATAAAATAAGCTATAGAATAATAATAATAAGTTATATTTTTCATATCTGGGGAATAACGAGAATAAAGAGTTCGGAATTTAGAAATATAGGCGAAATACATCAATGCAATTAGTTAGCTTATGAATGAAATTCCATAACGTAGCTTTGAGGTATACCTTTTCTGCATCATTCTCGTTGACTGTGTACGTTAAATCTGTCTCTTCGTACCCTGTAGCAGACATTCTCTGATCAGGGTTAGGGATCTGAGACACTGGTGGATCAGGAGAGTTCAAACAAGTTTGGATTAAAGCTTTTCCACTGTCAGACGTTATCATTGGTTGTAGTTTTCTTGTGGCGAATGTATAAACGTGGCCCGTCTCTGAAGCTACGAGAAGCATGACTTGTGTTCCTGTTAACGTGCTAAGCTCATAAGCCTGGAAAGAAAATAAAGTTGTCAAAGTTTAGAAAAAATGATTTTGGAATATATTCAAAAGAATGAATGATCACGAACTGCAGTAGAGGTATGTTGATTTTCAGTCACCTTTTTCATAATACCCGTCTTTCTTTTACTAAACGTCGTATACCGCCGAAGTTTATTAGTTATAAACTTCATATCAATCTTAACCCTCCCTCGGGTCTTTTTAGTAGCTGGTTTAACAGAGTCAGCTGGGACCTGACCGGTCGAATCATCATCATCGTCGTCGTCGTCGTTCTCGAGAGGTCGTTTCAGTTCGCCCATTCCTTCTTGTGTAAAACTTTGGTTCTCTGAAAGGCTTGATCCGTCAAGAACAACTTGAGGTTGGCCTGAATAATGAAGGTTTTCGAGGGAATCCGTCGAGTTTTGAGTCCCCTCTGCTTGCATTGCACTTCGTTGTGTATAGTACGATTGCCTTTTATGGAGTCTCTAGTCGATAGAGGACGATTCCTTTTTAGTCGATCCTTCGCTTCCAAATAAAGGTATATGGAGAATGACCCAATATGGCGGACTTTCAAGCCTCAGTCTCGTGATGTCTGACATCACAGACACTCCTTCAAGTATTCGTTTCTCATTGGTTCATTCAAGGTTCCGTTTGAACGATACCAAAAATATTGCCCGCAGCTCAGGCACATTAACTCCGATTAAAATCCAAAAATTTGACCCCTTTACCTAAATTACAACCGAATGAAAAATATAATAATATTTATCATGGGTCATTAAGCAATAGAGCTGTCAACGAAATCATTTTTCTTAGATATTCGTGTATTTTTATAACCCGAATTTTACAGAACTCGTCGTCACAGATAAAATACCAGGGGTTTCCAGCTCAGGAGTTCTCTGAAAATATACTCCAACGATGTATTTCATAGTTTTATTGCTATATAAAATGCAATGATAATGAGATCTTTAATAATCTGTTCTAGATCAATATTTTTAATTTTTTCTGGGCGATTGGTTTAAGTGATTTTTCATTGTGATAATTCAGTATTATCAGATTCGTGATTAATCAATGAAAAGGGCTTTAACCTGTTGCTAAACTTACTACAGTCCTTAAGAATTAGATAATATTTAATATCTATCTTCGAATAAAATAGAATTCTTAATCTACGACTTTTTGTATGCAAAGGGCGTTTCTCAATATTTCACTTACGTTGACAATACAAAAATATATTTTCTATGTCACTTGAACTATAAATATCGATAACTTTGAACGTTTATAAGCATCGTAACTGTCATTTAACGACAACCATCGATACTTCAAAAAATAGACGAGTTTCACAATCAACACAAGACTAGACTTTTTTCCCTACAGTTTGGCCGTTTGACTCGCGTCTTACTCACAGCGTCTTCAAGTAAACGTATAGTTTTAATGCTTCCCCATACACTAGGAACTTAGCAAAGGACTTTTATATACGGTAGTTTAATACTTATAACTTTAATGAGAGAGAAAGAGTGATACAGAGAAAGAAAGAGGCCGAGAAAGGGAGAATAAGTTGTTGATTATTGTTCTACTCGGTTCTCGAACTACACAAGTTCCACCTGACAAAACTTTCTCACGGTCTAGACCAACACAATCAGCTGATTTACAGACTTTAATCGTCTATGACATAGTATGAAGACACTAACTCACAATTTAGAGCAATTATATGTGACGATGAATATCGGAGCATGCAACAAGTTAGAACTCGAGTGCCAAAATATAACGTTTGTGCTAGCGTTTCAGTTACAATAGTGATCATCAGTGATTTCGAAATTGTTGAGATTTCGTGACGAAAATTTATGTCAATATGGAGCCGGAGCGTTTTGATGTTTTGCTTTTTCATGCAAGACTCATTAATTGCCTCTTTGTCTAATTTCATGATTGCTCGCTACAGTAAGCTCTCATCTCTAGCTACCTCGAGTTACTGGGCTATCTGTGGCTATCCTGCTACAGGTAGCCCATTAGCTAGAGCCTATACAGAAGCAAGGCCGTGAGGTTACAGTTAAAGTTAGAACTTTTGTTTGGGCTGTGGCAAAAAGAAAAATCAATATAAACTTATTGTTCCTGCAAAATGGCGGGGAATATCACGTGACCAATTGGCTGGTTCTAAAATTAACCATTTCTGATTGAAAAATTCGGAAAGTTGAACCCTACAGTAAATACTGAGGAAATATTTTTTAATGCTCTACCACTTTCATTAGCGACCCAGAAACGTATTAGCGAGCGGTTCCGTAAGTTGAGAATCGGAAAGGGTGTTGGCAGGTCATCATACCAACATCTGCCCTCTAAAGCAAGATATAAGAAACATCGAGCTGATAGATCTGAGAACATCAATGCCTTATATGGTTGTGGGAAAAAAGTGTGCGATAAAATGTATCTACGTAGCTTCTCCATATGATTATAACGATCGAAACAGGTAAAATTGGCAGAATGTAGTTCACGAGTGTCAAAACATTTAAAGCATGATTTCCTACCATATCTTTTAAATAAATTTTTTTAAACATCCATATTCATGTGATGTCAGGCAGTTCCGGGAAACAAGGAAATGATACTCAAGCGAATGGCGTAGTGTGTCGGACTGTGGCATTATTCCCAAACTGACACGGTAATCATTGTTCATTACAATATTTCTCACACAAATTAACACAATAGAAAGAACTGGAGAAAAAAAGATTTTGTCCGATTCTCCATGTTTACTGACAGAAACCGGCAATGTGATGATGATATGTCAACCATTATCACAAAAGCTCTTTACAAGTTGCTTTGGGTCGCAAGCCAATCGATTCCTGGTTGGCACACGAATAACAAAGGCTTAGTATCGAAGTATCGCTGTTTCGATCTCTGAAGTATTTTTCTCATACTCATTAATAATTCATGAGTAAACCAGCCAATCAATGGGCTATTTTTGGGTCACATGATGTTACTTGAAACCTGGTAAAGTGCTGTGAAAGGAATGCATTCAGTCTGGAGTAACTGGAACAAAATTAATTCAGTCCTAGGATTGAATTAATTTTGTTCCAGTTACTCTAAGTCGAATAATTAATGAGATGAGAAGTCATTTCAAAGCCTCCAATATCGGACTGGACGGGATTTCAAGTCTAAGCAATTAGTTCCAGTCCTCGGTTGTGCCTCGGACTGGAACTAATTGCTTAGACTTGAAATCCCGTCCAGTCCTCATTGTCGGCTTTGAAATATTACTTCTCATCCCATTTAAACACATACACACTTTTCCCATCCCCCCTGCCCACGAGAAAACACGACTTTAAGAAAACTTCATAGAATTTAATTGTACTTTTGATTTCGTTTTCAAACATGGTCACCAACTAACCCAATGAATCTTATCAGCAAACCAACTAATTTGGTATCTATTATCTGGACTACCTGTGGTGTGGTGGATGCACGTATATTTTTATATAGTTCCGGCTTATTTTTACTTGCTTTGGTGGCTAATGTCTTATCAACCTAAATAGGCTCTAGAAAGAGAGAAACGTTATGGCAAATATGGAGTGGCACAGAGTTGCCAGGCCTCTACGATCCTCAGCCCTTGGGCTCACCCTGTGTTATAACGGCTGACAATGCGGGTTTTTTTTGTTTCGTTCAGATTAAATCTTGAACAATTATTCCAACAATGTGATATTAAGATAAACCTATGAACATATGGATTTCCCTATTTAAGGGGAGAAAAATATTAATTTTGATAGCATTCTATTTATAGCAATATAGTTCCAAAAATTGAACGACTGGATTGAAAGAATTGGAAGAGATGCATGGAGTTTACACTCAAATTAGTTTCCAGCTCCAGCTGGTCGCAACAACAAGTCTTCTTACAAATATTCGTAGCCACACACAGGATCTTTGTAAGTGTACTGGTCGTAATTCAGGAGTCTGCATACACGTAGTGGTCGCAAACCACAGGTCTTTGTACAGGTATTGGTCGTAAATCACAGGTCATCTAACACCATAGATTTTCAAAATAATCGAAGTGACTGCTCACTAAAGTCAGCGAGGCTTACTTATTTTTATCAGATTAGAAAATTCAATCCCACTTGTATTTACAAAATAATTACAAAAGAGAACTAAGTGTTCGATATGATTAACGGCTGTGATTCGTTGATTGATTGCTCGTCCTCAGAGACACTCAAATTCAATCCTTCCCGTGATGAAGTGGGATCAGATTCAACCAGGCTTTCCTCAGACGAAAGAGTATTCATCACAAAGCTTTCCTGTGGTTGTTCACTAGGGGTCTCCCCCTGATTAGCAACTTGACTAAGTAAGGATGTTCCCTCAGACGAATTCTCGTTCATAGGATTATTGACAATATTTATGTGCTGGTCAGCGGAGTTCTCATTTTGAGCATGCGCACTCGGATTATCTCTGTCATCTCTCCCTTCTGGATTCGAAGCAACACCAGTGATTGGCAAGACGGGCGAATTATTATTTGTAGGTCCCACTCCATTCGATTGGACCACGGTTTCAAAAGGCGGAGGATCCCGCTGCACCTGACTCATAGCTTCATCATAAGACGGCAGAGCAAAGTGCACGTCCTCCCGGCATGTGGCAATCAAAGTCACGTGGTCATCATCACTGTAGAAACGACTGCGTATCGAATGATTCCTGAACCTTCGACTGCGATGAAAACGACGCACAAACACCATGACGCTGAGCAAAATGACCAAGGCACCCAAAGTGGAGCCCGCGCTGGCAGTGACTATGGTCAGCGTGTCCAATTCTCTGTCGGCTTTCCTTTCACCTTTCAAGTGTGTCGCTGTTGTGGCTGAAAGATACAATAAAGATATTTTGATATGTTTCTTACCTGTCAGTTAGAGTTTTGATAGAATGGTTTTCATAAACCCGTGGAATACACACTAGTCTAATACAAAAGCTGGGCAACCACAACAGCATGACCAAGCACACTTCATTCAAAGCTCTATTTAAAACAAATGCATGAAAATGCATGCATAAACATGTTAACTGCTTTTAACTACTGAGTCGTGCGATAAAGCAGATATTCATTGACTGCAGGTACGAACGTGCTGTAATGCGACCATGATGTGCTGCGTCTGAGCTTTCTGATTGGATAATCGTTTATTTTCTGCACTATGATCGGTTAAATTGTCGAAATTTACTCTATTTTTTCAGTGTGCTCGTTTTATTTTTTCCTTTGTATAATAATAAAATTGTATTCCTGCGCTATACAATCGACATAATATCTTGTTATAAATTAAAGAAAAATTTAATTATTCCATCTCACAGGATTTAAGTGGAGAATGTTTAGTAAATGTCACAGGAGGGGTTAATGGTGTGCTAGAACTACCGTCTAGAATAAAAACAAATCATTGTTAGATTGAAAGTTCTTTAATTGGGTAGGGGTGTAGACAGGTGCGTAGAGCGTAGACAGGGGGGCCAAGGGTGCCAGCCTTCCCCCCTCCCCCCCTCATGGCAACCAAAATGGCGGCTTTTTAGAACTTATATGGCGGTAATTTTCGATTTGTCATTTGGCAAAAAAAAAAAAAAAAAATGCAAAACGTAATGCGGCAGGGTTTTTTCTTGGTTCGGGAGCTCAAACAAAATGGCGGATCTTTGAATTTGGGCCTTCCCTTTCGGACAATTCTGGCCACGCCCCTGAAAGTGCTTAAGTGCTGGGGTAGGTCAGGATCAAAGTTAGTGTTTTAATTTACAGACCCCATTTTTGGGCTTTTTCTCGTTCTCACAGCAAAAGTTTTAATTATGCAAAATTAGAATAAGTTTTACAAAGAGAATTGTTTTTGGATAGGTGGGGAGGGTGGAATATCAACCACGGCCACACCTATACCACAGGAAACCCATGGACCAAACAATTCACTCCCTGCACAAAACACTGCAAGTGAACTAAACAAGCTATGATATAGAGAAAAACACTGGTTTTAGAACCGCTTAACATACCTGGAAATAAACAAATAGGTCGGCCATGTTCCACTTTAAACTTTCCTTTCAGCCTGACACACTTCTCTTCAAAGCGAGGCAGAGTCAGACAACTTGGTATTGACCCTGACCAGTAGGTTAGGCCAGAGCTAACAGCTTGACAGGTTAATGTAGCATTCCCCCAGAGGTAATACCGAGAGTCGCATGAGTAACTAACTGAGGAACCATAGCTGTACTTGTCGGAATGCTTATCATGACTGCCGTAAAAAATGTTTCCTGGTTCTTCACAAAATAGAACTGTGATAGAAAGGAAAAAGATGACATAAATATTATACAAAACACCAAAATTACTATGAAAATATCAACAATAAAAATACCAAGAGTAACCACTACCATCACCTTCAATGAAAACTATAAACACTATTACCACCCACACCCATAACCATAAAAATCAAAAGAACCCACTACCATCACCTTCAATGATAACAACTACAAACAATAAATATTATTTTACCAGCTGATGTCCGCTTCACACATGCTACCACTGCACTTAGTATTTACAAACACTCAACTCACATCTTGATTTTTACAAAGGAAAGGAAACCGTGGAACCTGGAGAAAAACTTTCGTGGCAAGGAAGAAAACAACACATCCAACAATCTTAACTCACATATGTAGCTCAGCAGGAAATAGAATTCAGGTCTCCTAGCATGAACTACACAGCAGTTAGAGAGAGCACTGTAGCTGTGCATGGCATCCCACTCAACTACCACTTCCAACAACTACTAGAGCAGTTTTCACATAACTGTGTAAAGCTAATAGCCATAATGCCATGACTGTGATGTTTTCTAGAATTTTTGATTGGGTCATTTTTTCTCATGCAATATGTGAATGGTCTGGCTGTGCTGTGACCTCTGCAGGACCATGTCTGTGCCATATTTATGCTGTGTTCCAGGCATTCGATTGGATGGAGAGTAAATTCTTGGGAAATGTGATTGGTCTGGTGTATGCCTTGTCACTTACATGTTGGTGCCATGACCTTTTAACATTCATACAAAAAACTGCTCTAAGGCTGCATTCATATGTATGCCAAATGGGGGGGGGGGGGGGGGGGGGGGGGGGGGGAGAAAATAATAAAACGGGGGGTGTCAGGTGAAAATTTGAAATGTCCAGAATAATATTCTTAAGACTCCCCTTAAAGTCATGCAAAAAAATACGATCCCCCCTAAGCAAGGCTTGTAGCTTCTTCCAGCAATTGTGCATCCCCCCCATTTTTCTGACAAAAATTTGCCCATCCACCCCTTTTTCCTACCAAACTTTTCCTGATCCCCCTCAAATTCACCTGCCCCCCCCCCCTGTCAAACGTTATGAATGCAGCCTAAAAAACTGCTCTAATGACAACACTGCTACACTACTCCCATCACCTCAGCACAAAAACAACAACAAAAATGTTAGGATTAAACCAAATACTAACTTTTACATGTTGGGTTCTGTATCCCAGTCCAGTGCCCATCGTGCATGCACGTTCTTCTACTCACATCACCAATTAACTTATAACCAGAATGACAGCTAAAGTTCACGACTGTTCCAATTATATAATTTGGAAGGCTGCTTGTCATGACCCCATTGGAAAACGGCCCAGGTGAGCCGCAGGTGTTTATTACTATAATAAAATGAAGGAAACAATGAAAAAGTAAGCACAGCTAGAAGCAAATAAGGGAAAAGTAGTTGTGTTTACGGGAATCAAGGGTGGAGTAGTAGTGTACTCACTTTTTACCTCAGGGTTCTCAGGTTCGATTCCTGGACTTAGCGTCACATAAGTGTTTGCAAGCTGTTCCTTTATTCAAGGGCTTTCTTTAGGTATATGTATACCCTTGACATCTGGGCTGATCTAAGTCAGGGCATGGCTGACTCACTGATCAAACCCTGAAACAACCTCTGGGCTGATCTAAGTCAGGGCATGGCTGACTCACAGA